GATCTAGCGCCGGTCGCGCCTCCCGAGGTTGGGGCGTGACATTCTTCAACCCCACAGGAACAAGTTGGGCCATCCTCACCCCCAAGGGAACAAGTAGCCGCGGTTGAAGGATCATCTGCAGTCAAACGGAGTACGCGGATGACAGCCTTAGAACAAGAAATGGTAGGGCCGCGCACTTCCGTCACGGAATTGGGGACTAGAGTTGATGCCCTTGCCACCCAAAATGCGAAGTCTGAGAAGAAAATCATGGGTTGCCTGCGTGCGCTGGGGAGGGCGTGTCATCTTGACCCCGGCACTGTCTCCGATCAAGACTGAGCTTCCAAGGAAGTTCCTTTACCTCGCATTACTTTATTTTGTATGACATAGGGACATGCCATCATTTTAAGCGTGGGGTGGGGGATACTTTGTTGGTTTGTTTTATGTAGAATTTCGTAGTTTATTTGCATAAATCAGTTTCGACTTGTCCTGACGATGGATATCATTCGACGGGTTTCTTGAGGGACTAAACTCGAAGAAAAAAAAACACAATTTTTTTTTTCTTTTGTAGTACTGTATCAATTCCCCCTTGGTTTTTCTTTAAGCCACGGTTCTTTTCCAAGGGTTTCCTTTGAACCGGGTGTAGTTAGTTTTTTTTTTATTATTAGTAGGAACTTGTAGGCTATGGGCGGAAATAGGCATAGGATCTCTTAACGTTGGAATGCCTTGAATATAGCGGGTACTTTAGTGTGACGCTTAGGCTCAGTTGTCGACTCTTGTAAGCATGCCTTAAACTGTATGTTCTTAATTTGGCTCAAGTACCCTAACAGAGTGTTGGATGACCCAATCTGGAGTGAGTCATGTGCCATGTGTGTGTGAGGCTTGTTGTGTTCTATGCACGACATTTGATGCCTAGAACTTGCCTCGTGTGTCTGCAAAGTGAAACAGTAGTCTTGTTTAGTCTGGGAAGTGATATAGGCATTTCTTTGTTGAACCATATATATACTTCATCCACCCATGTGTTATGTATCGTAGTTAACCCCGTTGAGCCTGTAATCCTGTTTCATTGGCAACCACACTACAAGCCTTACCCATTTGTTTGAATTAACCATCTATTCGAACCGTTTCACCTCTCAATGAGCACTTGAATTGTTATGAACTTTGTAAAAGTTAAAGTGTGGGGTGGTTGGTTTGGCTTTTTAGTGAAACTAATGAAATAAGGAGAAAAGTGCACTGTTTAGAAAAAAGTAAGAGCCACTTGAATTTAAACAAAAGAAAGAAAAGGAAAAAAATAGTTGTATTGTTGTGAAAAAAAATATTCCTTGATAAGTGGTGACTCTTCATGTAATTGTGCTTAAAGAAGTATGGGGTAATATACATTGAAGTGAAGGTGGATTTATGGTTCCACATAAGTGTGGGGTTTTAAATGTTAAAGTATATGTATTAAAGTGCTTAGGGAGGTGTAGCCACTCGTATATCTAAATGTATCCTACCCGTCTCGCAGCCTACATTACAACCAAATAAAGCGCTACTTGATCCTAGACTGAATGAGCTCGATTAGTAGAGTAGTACACTACGGGCGAGCCTATGGTGCATCTTTTGTGGCATATGAATGTCATTTCTGAGGGTGAGTGAATTCTGTTTATATTGAAGTTCCTCAGTGTATGTGCATTTTATTGATTGTGGAATAAGTCTCTTTTGTTGTGAGCAGGCACTTGATTCATGAAGGAGAGGTAAGTTTGGACCTCTGAGTTAGAGTAAGTAAGCCGGTTAGGAATATTGCGTGGCTCGTGGGAGTCAACTCTTGAGGTGTGGAAGTTACACTAATGTACTCAATCTATGAGGAATATTCTTGGTGTGACAAGTTAGGGAAGTCGCTTGGGGGAAGTTAGGCCTCTGTAGAGTGTGGTTTGATTGCTCGAGGACGAGCAAAGGTTTACGTGTGGGGTGTTGATAGTAGACGATAATTATGCAATTTAGATACTATTTACACTCTAATTTGGCCGCACTTTATCAATGTTTGAATGTTAAAAGATAACAAAATGCTCTAATTAAGAGTTTTTCATTTTGCAGGAGCCACTCCGAGCTAGGAGGAAGCTAAAGAGTATTTTGGAGTCAATATGGAGCGTGGAAGGCCAATCGGAGGATATCACGGTCGAAAAGGAGAAAGAAAAGCAAGTGTCATCTCCGCGGTCAGATCCACGGACGTGGACAGAACATGTGCCAAGTCCGCGGTCCAATCCGCCGCCGCGGACAGGCTGACGGAAGCCAAGAACCCAGGGTCAATTATCTAATTTCTAGGGCGACTAACCTAAACCTATATGAAGCCTAATCCGTCCAAAAGAGAAGGAGAGCTGTTTTTAGAGAGAATTTGAAGGCAAGAACACGGAAGAAAGACAGAGAATTTCCTTAGAGTTTTTATCTTCTTCTTTTTAATTCCGTTGTTGATTATGACTTTGTATAGTGAATTTTTATCTATTAGCATAAGTAGCTAAACCCATCATCTAGGGTTGATGAAACCAATTGTTGGATGAAGTCTTGACCCTATTTTGATATAATTGAGCCGTTTTTACTTTATGATTGTTCAACTATGTGTTGTCTTGTGATTAATTGAAAGGGCCCTTGATTAATCGTGTCTAGTTATCTTGTGTTGCTTGAGAAAGAACACTTGGTTAGATTGTTATTGAATAATACCACTTTCGGGTAAGTTAAGAGATTAATTACTTGAATTTAAAACCAGGGTTAGAGATAACGAAGCTTTGGTGGGATAATTCTGAGTTGCATAAATTGTTAACTAGAGTAGTTCGAGAGAATGCTTCTAGTAAATTATCGTAATTGATTGAGAGATAATTGCGGTAACCCAGAGCTCATATTTCTTATAGAGTGTTACGGCGAGATTATAGCTAACGTGTCAGGAATTAATCCGACAATTGGGGAAATCAATAACCCTAGACCATGTTACTATTGAATACTATTCTAGATTATTGCTAGTTTTATTGTTATTTTTCCTTAGTTAACTAAATTCTACTCATTATCCATTAAAAATCTTGCATCCGGGGATTATTTGAGCTATTCATTATCAGTGTTAAAAGTTGTAGTAAATAGGTTAGTTCCCTGTGGAATTCGACACCGGACTTGAATCGGATTATATTTGCAGCGACCGCTTAGTCCTTTTTATAAGGTATAGTTGGGCATCATCAAATAACCAACTCTCGTAGAGTAGAGAGTGGGCAGATATTGACTACGGATCCTCCATCGACAAGTACTCGAGACACCACTTTATCCCCATACTTGATAGTAATGTGTAAGGCCATGTTGTGACCCACGTCCTCTACTGGAAGTTCATCTCTTCGGAAGGTAATCATGTTTGCCTCGACCATCTCCCAATGGTCACTGTTAATGCCTCTCTGGTAGTGTTGCTCGGCATGCTCACTCCACTTAACACCTTCATCAAGGCGTCTTTGTGACTGTCAGAACTCATCAGCAGATCCATGATCGATATATGTGCAGGGGTTTTCTTCAATTTCTCCTCCATGGAGTATTCTTTAGCGTCATCTGTTATATTCCTCCTCTAAATCTGTTCCCTTCCTGGATTTCCTCGGGTTATCTCTTCTGGAGCATAACACTTCCCTGACCTGGTCATTCCATAAGCCGCTACGGATAGGGGTGTTCATGGTTCGGTTTGGGTCGGTTTTTACTTTAATAAAAACAAACCAATTAAATCGGTTATTCAAATTGTTGAATCAAACCAAACTAATAGAAATTTATAGGTTTCGGTTTTTGTCGGGCTTTTTTCAGTTTTTTGGTTTTTTTAATTTTCGTCGGTTTTTTTAAGAATACATGAGTTTTGGCCTTTAGGATCCTGGAAAGGGGTTTTCTTTCGGTTGAATGGCTAGTAACGAGAAAATCAATAATGTAATGACTGGATAAAGAAATAAGGTATCCAACTTTTCACAAAAAGTACATAACAATATTTCGGCTCCTTTAGAACTCTAGCCAAAGAGTACAGCAAAAAGAGAGAAGTTATATGACCTTTCTGGCCACATAGAAAAATTAGACAAGTATGTCCAATTTCTATATCACTCATTATTCAAACATGTGCACCTAAAACTTCATTACACAAATAAATACACATCTACAATCCCTCATGGATAAAGAAATGCGCCCTAGCAGTTAAAGATGGAGCTAATCACCAGAGACACACATTAATGCTATTTTATCACCAAACTTTGGAAAGTTAACAGAAGATCGCAAAGTCACAAAACTTATATTACAATAATAAAATTATAATAGGATACTATAAAATAATTTTTCATATGGTAAAGTAAAGCATCCACATCAAAAAATACATCTAAATTCCAAGCAACAAGAATATGGTTGAAGCCAGTTCCATCATCCGATCTAATCAATGCTCAAAACATTGTCGGGTATTCTGAAAGATAAAAAAAAATAAAAATATTGCGCATTAAGTAATTAACAAATATAAATATATTCATAATGAGTTAAATGTATAAAATTAGCTTTTTCAACTATTTCAAGTTTTTGGATTTCTTCTAAAATATCTTTAATGTTGCATTCTTTGGGAGTTGACCTGAGCCATTGTTGAGTGCAAATTAGAGCTTCTACCGTCTTTGGCGATAAAGAACTTCGATATGAATCAAGAATCATCCCAGCAGTACTAAAAGCCGATTCAGATGCAACAGTAAAAATATGAATTGCAAGAATATCTCTTGCAATCCTAGAAACAATTGGATACCTTTTACTTGCATCTTTCCACCAAGACAAGATATTAAAATCTTTGGCCAACTCGAAATCATCTGTCAAATACCTCTCAAGATCAGTCTTACTTCCTTCATTATCTTGCTCTTGCAAATATTTTTCCAACTGCGATTGCCATATCTCTCCAGTATCACCTTCACTCATCGTACTAACTTGACCTCCCAAAATCTCATCAGAATTTTTAGCAGAAGAATCTTTATAGCAATTATACAAGCGAGATAGAGTATCCATCACTTTGTCTGATCTCAAATTTCTCGCCATAGTACCATAAGATTTAGCAAAATGAACTTCACATACCTCATCTTATATCGAGGATCCAACACAACAGCGACAAATAATAAGATATTCATATTATCAAAGTCACCCCAATATTTATCAAACTTGAGTTTCATCTTAATATCCATATCAATCATAACTAGATCATCACCTTCGGAATTTTTGGCAATAAAGTTAAGAAGATTAAAAAGCTCATGAAAGAAAGAATTTGAAGTAACACACAAAGTTCCTGAAAATTTCAAAGTAATCTGGTAAAAAATGTCAAGAAACTTTGTAAGAACTTTTACCTTCTTCCAGTCAACCCCACTTGGGTGCACTGCTTTTCTAATCATATCTAGACAATACTTTTGATACTTGTGATCATCAATATACATTCTTGAAATGGCCTTCTCAAATTTTATAGCTATACTTAACATCATATAAGTTGAGTTCCACCTGGTTTCAACATCTAAACTCAAATGGCCATGGCTATCAATCTTTACCTTTTCAACAGTTGATTTAAAGGAAGCTAATCTTGCAGAAGAAGACTTAACATACTTCACAATATTTCTGACCCGAGAAATAGACTCAATATGATCACTTAATCCTTCTTTTATAATTAAATTCAAAATGTGAGCATTACATCTAACATGTAGAAAGTCATTTCCCACGACGATTCCTTTCCAATCCTCAATCCTCCCTTTCAAGTGTCTAATTGTTGCATCATTAGCACTTGCATTATCTAGGGTCACAGTGAATAGATTTTCAATTCCCCAATCTAACAAACAAACCTCAATACCCTTTGCAATTGTTTCACCCTTATGATCTAGAACTTGAAAAAAGTTCAAATTTTTTTTTTTGCAAGTTCCAATTATCATCAATCCAGTAGGCAGTTATAACCGCGTAAGTTAGGTTTTTGAGCGATGTCCACGTATCACTAGTGAGACATACATGTTAATTTTGAATATGCTTTATAAGCTTTTCTTTTTCCTCATGATAAATTTTTAAACATTGCCTAGCAACAGTCAAACGAGAGGATAACTCAAAATTAGGCACAACAATTGACATTAATCTTTTAAAACATTCCCCCTCGACGACTTTAAATGGTTGTTCATCAATCATCACGAATTCAGCAATAGCCCTTCTTACTTCATCGACATTATACACAACTCTTTCCAGTTTACTAGTACCAACACTACCTCCTTGTCCGCTTCCTTTAATTGGGTAAGACCTGAGTGTCGGCTGTGTTCTATCAATGAATCTAAAAGGGCATTTCTTACAAACAATATTCAAATGGTTCATAATGTAGTAGTACCATTTTTCTTAGTATCGGAAGCAAAAGTTTTAGCACAGAAACTACATTTTGACTTATGCTTACCATCATTATCAACGAATTTGGAAAAGTATTTCCAAATGTCTGATGTTTCACTCCCAAGGCCAGAATCATTTTCAGAAGGTGCTGCTCTTTTATGCTTTTTAGGAGGAGTAGGAACACTTGAATCAACAACTGGAGTACTGTTGCCTTCAAGTTGAGGAATTTCCTGAACCTCGGCTTCTAAAGGTTTTATTTCCATCTGCTAAGAGAGACGAAACATGCAAACAGTGGTCAAGAACAAAAAGACCTACAGAAGTGATACAAAAATACTTTACAATTTCATATAAATTTTTTCCAAATTATCCATTAAAAAAATGATAACTAGTTGGGGTTAAGACCAAAAAGAAAAGCAAAAACCTGCTCATTACTCATAGTTGTGGTTGCCATCGGTCGCTATTCAAATCATAAAAACAAATTTCTTGAAGAATTTTGAGTAGATCACTCTGTTGTTGTGTACAATATAGAGAATTTTAGAGGGAGAGAGGAGAGAATTTTGTTTGGCCTGGAAAGCTGCGTATTTTCTGATGTGAAAGGGTGAAAGAGAATCAAATAAACCCTAAGAAATTAAAGGCCTTTTGTCTGAACATACCAAATTGACATAGGCCCATTGCAGCTAAAGGAATATTGCAAAGGTTAGGCCCAAGAGTGTAAAATGTTATACTGTAAAGAAAATTTAATATATATATATATATATATATATAATTTTTAAAATAGGTACCGATATGATCGGTTTGGTTCATTTTTTTTTCAATTTTTGTTTGTATAAAATCAGAAGGAAACCAAATTTTGTCGGTTTTTTAAAATAAGAAACCAAACCAAGTTAAGCCAACATATTTTGGTTTATTTTTCTCGGTTTGGTGTGGTTCCGTTTTTCGATTTTTGGCGAACACCCCTAGCTACAGAATCCGTCATCTTGCCTTTCCCTTTCTACTGATATGTCCACGGGACTACCTTGTATATCTGATCCTTTTCATTGCTGATAATGGTGGTGGACTGCTCCTGGTGTGTCTGGACCATCACTGGAGGTTTTAACTGTACGGTGATCATTAGAGTCCTTCGGGGTGGAAACCTTGCAACCTCAGTATATCCTATTGTGATGATGGTTCCTTTCAAGTCATACTCTTCATCCAGGGTGATCATATTAGCTCCTTGATTCCGTTCGTTTGGCAGGGGGTTACAGTTCACATTGGGTAGAGTTGGGGTGCACTGAATGGCTCCACTTTTGATCAGCGACTCAATTTCATTCTTCAGTATGAAGAAATCATCGGTATCATGTCCAGATATGCATGGTAGACACACCATTTGGTATGATCAAAGTATTTGAAGGATGCTCAAGAATCCTTCCTTCTATCGGATGTAACAAACTGACTCTCCTCAATCTTTCGATTAATTGAGCCATAGGTTCAGCAATTGGGATGTAGTTTCTGGTACCTCTTTCTTCAAAATTTGGGCGAGGTCGGGGTGCATATGTGGGTCAATATTGATGGGTGGTGGTCTAAACTTGAGCGTATAGTCATGGTCGATTTGGATTTATGTGAGAAAGAGGTGAGTTATATTGAGGTTGGGGTTATAGTATGGTTGTTGTTATATATCGGAGCATAAGTAGGTTGATACGAAGGATGGGTGTTCAGAGAGTAAGAGTTGTTTCCATGGGGTGAATTGGACTGGTAATAGGGAATGATTGCTGATACCTCTTCTTTCTTCTTCTTTCCACTACTTATCAAACCAGACTGAATTGCCTTGCTAGCTGCTTACAACGTGGCCATGGATTGTATCTTCCCTGACATAATCCCTTCCTCCAAAAAGTCTCCCATTTTAACAAGTTCAAGGAACTTCTGCCCCATCATGACCATCATCTTTTTAAAGTAGATCCCTACTTGAACCCTGATGAAGTATTTGGTCAGCTTATTGTCATCTAGCGGGGGCTAGGTCATGGCAGCCCCTGACCTCCAATGACATGCATACTCCCGAAACGATTCTGACGGTTTCTTCTGCAAATTTAACATGGCAAACCTATCTGGGGTAATTTATGTATTGAACCGGAATAGTTCATGAAGTCTCCTGCCATATCCTGTCATTCTCTCCAGTTTATGGGATCCTGGCGGGTGTACCAAGTAAGTGCTTCTCCTGTCAGAATTCTTATAAATAGCTTCATACTTAATTTTTCATTCCTTCCTACTCCAACTAGCTTATCGCAGTAGGCTCTCAAGTGTGCATGGGGGTCATCTACCCCGTAAAAGATGTCAAACTTCGGAGGCTTGTATCCTACCGACATGTCCACATCAGGGTGTATACACAAATGCTTGTAACATAGATTCTCACTCCCTCGAGCGATATGAAGGTTCTTTTTTTGTTTCCTTAATGCTCGCAACTATCTGGATACTAACTCTTCCTCTTTATACTTAGCCTCCCTCTCCATTTTGGCATATTGATCAACTTCATAAGGAAACCTGACCATGACGGGTGCTAAGAAAGTGGGTTTCGAAGCGGCATATACGAGTGGAACATATCACTCATGTGCATCGGTATGTGCTGGTTTTGATTGTTGGTGAAGGTGACGCCATCGCGAGGAGGGGTATGAACCGTGTTTGTAGCGACTGGTGGTTTTGCGGTGTCTGAATATAATTTGGTACATAAGGGGTATGTATGGGAGAATTTGGTGGGTTTTCAAGGGTTACTAGGGGTACAATCTGGGTTGTAGTGACTAAAGTCAGGGTATTGTTTGATTGGCGGGTAGTTGAAAAAAAGTGATCGGGGATCAAATCTAGTGAAGGAAAGTGGGGTGGTTATAGGAGTGTCATCAAGGCCAGATGCGCCAATTCCCCAATGTGTTGTACTTCCTCTCTCAATGATTCCATCTCTTGTGCCATCCTAGCAACATATTCGTCGTTCCGAGTATCATCCTTTTCTCCCGATTGCCCCGGGCTTTTAGCTATTACCAAAGCGCGTTCGATCGGTCATCTGTCACAGACATCTTGCCTTTTTATCTCAAGTTGTATAGTGGTTCCGCCAGTTTTCGGGTCAACACAAACCAAACTCTTCTTTTGGGGATAATAATAAAGTAATGCAAGAACTGAAAAGAAAAGAAAAGAAAAGAAAAATAGAAGTCAGTTTCAGTGTTTGCACAAATATGAGCACATTGAGGAATTAGTTCTCGTATTCAAGTAAGTGCATTTACTAATGTGTGAGGGACCTCTCTTTACCGGAGGTGGGCCTACGTCACGAATATTTGACAGACAATTAGATTTGACACGTTTAGCTCCGAAGCAAACTTTGGATTCTTTTTCATTAATAATATTTGGATTGTAATAGGCGGGAACAAGAATTACCACATTGTTTTTCCAACATCCATAAGATTACATGGGCTCAATAGGCTTGCCCTTAGGAAAATGAAAAGAGTACGGGATAAAGGATGCAAGATAGAAAAAAAGGGAGAAATCAACCAGCCGCTAGTAGCCTCCCCTGAATCATCTCCCATATCTTCTCCCTCTTTCGGTTCCCCTTCTAGGTCTTCTTCAAATTCCTCTCCTTCTTCTTCATCATTGTACTCCGTCTTCTCTTTAGGATTTTCTTCTGGTTCTGTCTCAGATTCAATTTGTATACACTCGACCACTCGATCATCATCCTATGGAGGTGGCAGCATATGATGAACTGACCCTGGAACCACTTGACGGTGCATGGAGGTGGTCACAAGGTAGTGAGACAAAATCTCATGATAGATTTGCAAGGCTGCCGCTGCATCTTCCAGCCATGCTATTCCTGCTCTGCTTGGTCGGGCCAACTCATCATCCTCATTGATCCAGACATAGTATTTTGGAGTTCTCCACGAATTCTAACCCATCAACATCATAACCATATCATTCCACTCCTCCTGAAGTCTTCTTATCCTTGGGATCGGGATCTTCCCATTGTACTCATCTTCATACAGAGCCGTTCTCGTCCAAAGGGATACATGCTGGACCAAACCAAACTGCCTGAGAACTCACAGGGGTGCATATGGCTGAATGCCTTCGAGGCCTATCAGCTCGATGAAATACTTTTGGGGGGTCCTAAGAATTGACCTGCCGCTCAGCCACGAAAGCTTCCAATTTATCCATTCTTCGCTCAAGTTTGTCAGGATCTCTCTCCATTCTTTATGTCCGTGCAGGGAGACCCAGTGCCTCATTCTCTCATTGTGACTCCGAATCATATTGCTAAAACCTACAAAGTAATCAACCGTGGCTTCTCATTGAAAGAAGTGCTTCGTGGCCCATATTTGGAGTAACAGGTTGCAGCCCTTAAAGAAATTTTATCCCTAGGAACATAAAGACAGTGCTTTGAGAATTTCCAATATCATAGGCACCAAGGTGGCTTGGAGGTTACCCCAGAATGTTTCCAAGACCACGGGTAGCAAGTTGATGTTGATCCGTCCTCTCCTTTGAGGGAAGACCAGCAATCCTAGCAGCGCAAAAGAGAAGGCTATGGGGCGGAGACTTTCCCAGGTATCTTGATCACACTGAAACTCTCCTAGGTACCATTTGTAGCTCTCTCGATGTCCAAACTTGTCAAACAATTGGTCTAGGCTTACCCATCCTTCTTCAATGTTCCTCAAACTCCGACTACCTGCCAAACCCAAAGCATCGAGAAACCCGTAGCTGGGCATGGTGACCGGTAGTATTGGACTTCTCCCGGTAAAAGGCAGCTTTGTGAAACTGGTAACTTTTTCAAACATTGTCACCAATTCACTGTCAGTGAACTTGAAAACCACTTTGGCCAGATCCCAAAATTCTATCAGTAAACGGGTAAGCACCCTATCAGCCCCAATATTCAGTAAGGCAGTCAATGCTCTTATGTGTGTCCTGATTTCATCTCTATGCTCTCGGTGGATGTTCTTCCACCATTGCTTCAACTTATGCGGCACTCCCATGACCATATTGATTTGGGGGATGTCCTGGTTGATTTCCATTTCTAAAGAGGGTAGAAAAGGGTTTGTTAAGTGTTTGCACCGGATCTTTAGTGTCTCATCATGATTGGCTCGTCGTTCCACAAAAAGTCATGTCGTTGGGTGCATGACCCGTTGACATTAGGGTGGCTTTCCTAACAGTGTGTCGATGCCAAGGACCAACTCACCTATGGTATATGCAGTATGACCTATGTTTGCTAGAGTGGAGTGTGTCCTAGCTTCAGATTTTAATTGAATACTGCAAGAAGTTATGTCAGTTGACCAGACAAAGCCATTCTATGAAACAACAATTTTGAAAGATGGTTCAGAGAGGTGTAAAAGACAACCCTCACGTGCCATTGTGTGTGATAGTGTACGGCCAAGACTCGATAGGAAAGACTGTGATGACAACATATGTAAAACGGTAGCTGATAGTGGGTCGTCAATGATAACATTAAAGTGAGCAGATAAGTACAAGATGAATGAGTAAAGCACGTAAGCACATATTTGCAAATTAAGCACAATTAAAGCAGTATATAAACAAATATTCCTAAAATGTAGGTATAGTCTAAATCTGCTAAGGTCAGAACCTAAGTGTATCCCCAACAGAGTCGCCATGTTATTGCACCCTATTTTGCACGAGTCAAAATAAGTTCAACTAATGGTTTCCTTGTTGATGATAAAAGAGAGTCGCCACCTAATATTTAAAGATATATTAGAGTACCTATTTAATTATTAAGGCAATAATCCTATTAGTCTTCTAACCAGTGAGATTTTGAGTAAGGGTTCTTCTTCGACGGTGAAGGTGTTAGGCACCTCCTAGAATCTACCTAAGGTAGTCCCATAGGATTTAGACTAGGTTCAGAGAAATCAGATGTCTACATCTACTTAGTTAGTGCTTAAAATATGTGGCTTACCTTATGCAATGTTTTAAAAGCTTATCAATTTTGAAAGATAAGTGATGTACTGTAACAACCTGACCGGTTGGTTTGAGCTTCAAGGTTCGTTTTAATGGTTCGAGGTCATAAATGACTTCATATTGTGTATTATAACTTGCGTGCATGGTCGGATTCGATTTTCGGATGTTTCAGGATGAATTTGGATGAGTACTTCTCACTTTAGAAGCTTAAGTTAAAAAATATTGACCGTGGTTTGACTTTTGTGGAAACAACACCGGAATGGTGTTTTGATGCCTCTGATATGTTTGTATCGTGATTTTGGACTTGAGCGTATGCCTGGAATCGAATTCGAAAGTCCGTAGGTTGATTTGTGTTGTTTTGCCGAAAGTGGGCAATTTAAAGGTATAGAATTTTGATAAGTTTGACCGTGGGTTAACTCCATAGCTACCGTGTTTCGATTTCTGTTTCAATAGTAGGTACGT